ATACATTCTAAATATAAAATAGTCAAAACCTAAGGTAATAGGTTTTGGTAAGAAGTACCAGGATTAGGTTATTTTATTTTTTTCCTTACTATCATTTGTTGAATATTTCCATTTAGTGCTTTAGTTCATTAATTTACCTAACAAATTTGCCATTAATCACAATATATATACTGGAACCAATTCTGGGTATAAGAACTGTGAACAAGGCCAAGCTGTTGATCTCCTGGATCTTAGGTTGTTACAGGAACAGAAAAAAAAAAAAATCATATACTAACGATTGCTAAGAAGAAACAAAAAGGAATAATGTAATCAAGTCTGGTTATTTTAGAGTTGGTCATCAAAAATGTCTTCGTGGAAGAACTGACCTTTAAACAGAGCTATAAATGACAATAAGCCAGCCTATGTAAGATTTGAGAAAAGAACATTCCAGACAGACAAAGCAGGAATTATAAATGTCCTTAGGCAAGAATAGGTTTTTGTCATGTTCCAGAAGCACACAGGGTGGGGAGCCCAGCTTTACTTAGGGTGCCAAAGGTATGTGCTAAGGTCACAGAGTCAGCAGGGGCTAGCTTGCATATGGTCATATCAGTGAGAATTTTAATTTGGGCTAAACCTACTCAAAAACCATTGACACTATCTGTTCAATACTTTAATGAAGATCCACGGGCTTGTTTTATGGATTGAGAAGGGGCAAGAATGAAGCAAGAGACCAATAGCAGGAAAGAGATGCCAGTGGCTTGGGCCAGGATGTCAGCAGTGGTGGTGGAAAAAAATGAATGCAAGTCAAAACTACTTTGAGATATCATCTAACACCAGTAAGATTAGCCCATGTCAAAAAAACCCAAAGTCACAGATGCTAGCATGGTTGTGGAGAAAAGGGAACACTTCTACACTGCTGGTTCGATTGCAAACTAATACGTTCCTTTTGGAAAGTCATCTGGAGAACACTTAAAGAACTAAAAATAGACCTGCCATTTGATCCTATAATTCCTCTACTAGGTATATATCCAGAAGACCAAAAATCACACTACAATAAAGATATTTGTACCAGAATGTTCATTGCATCCCAATTCATAATTGTTAGGTCATGGAAAAAGCCCAAGTGCCCATCAACTCATGAATGGATCAATAAATTGTGGTATATGTACACCATGGAATACTATGCAGCCCTAAAGAAAGATGGAGACTTTACCTCCTTCATGTTTACATGGATGGAGCTAGAAAATATTCTTCTTAGCAAAGTATCTCAAGAATGGAAGAAAAAGTATCCAATGTACTCAGCCCTACTATGAAACTAATTTATAGCTTTCATAGGAAAGCTATAACCCAATTTTAGCCCAAGAATATGGGGAAAGAGGAGAGGGAGGGGAGGGGAGAGGGGAGGGTGGGTGGAGGAAGGGTGATTGGTGAGATCACACCTATGGTTCATCCTATAAGGGTACATGTGAATCTTTCTAAATGTAGAATATAAATGTCTTAACACAATAACTAAGAAAATGACATGAAGGCTATGTTAACCAGTTGGATGAAAGTATTTCAAATTGTATATAGAAACAGCACACTGTACCCCATGATAGCATTAATGTGCACAGCTATGATTTAATTAAAAATAAAATAAATAAAAAATAAAATATACTTTGGAGTTAGTGCTATAGGAAGCAATGGATTGGTTGTAGGACAGTGAAGGAAAGAGTGGATTTCAGAATTATACTGAAGAATTTGGCTTGAGTTCTTGGGTATATGGTGGGGTCATTTATTAAGATGAAAAACACAAGAGTAAGAAGAGTTGGGGGTGTAAATAGAGACTTTTCTCTATTCATCTGGGCAAGCATTTTTCTCAAGTAAATCCTTGAGTTAGAACATCTCCTCCTTATTACTTGCATTCTTTTATTTAGTAGATATTTAATAAATCCCATCAGATACCAGGCATTGTGCCAGATGGTTGGTATTTCCAATAAAAATGAAGACACATCTGCTGCCCTTATAAAACTTTGAGGCCAACAGGAGAAATAGAAATGGTAATCAGATAGTCATACAATAAAAGTAAAACCACAGCAGTGACTCGTGCTAAAAATCAGAGACCTATAATACTGTGGTATAGTAAAAGAAGGTGATTTTACCTAGTTATGGAAGCCTTGGAAAGGTCCCCTGGAGAGATGATATTAAACTTAAAGCAGATCCGTGATTCTGTGAAGGGGAAATAAGAAATGTAGAGGTCTCAGGGCAGGGAGGAATTGGGCAAATATCTGCAGCTCACAAAAGACAAGAGTCTCAGCTTGGACTCCTTAAAAACAGCATCTAAAGTAACCCGTATATGGCCATTAATCTGTTAGGGAGGCTAATCCTGTGTAGTAGGTGTGAGGCAAAAGAGGGTGAGAGAGGGAGAGGGTGGAGAACCAATAGAAGGTGCGCTACTGTGTTGGCCCCTGCTGCATGCAAATGATGGCTCTATCCCACCAGACCATCCTGCATAAGAGAGAAAAGAAGAAAGCAGGAAAGAAAGTTGAAATTTATTCACCAGCTCCCTTTTCCAAATGGCTAATATTTGCTTTCTGAGATTCTAACCCCTCCATGCTTCTAAACTGAGCATGAATGGGCACAAGGCAGAGCCTCAGAGCATCTCATGCCATCGTCTGAGGGTGCATCGCTAGCACGGTAGTTCATTTCCACTTGTACTTAGTCAGATGTAGTCCAATAGCTATTGATACAGGACAGATGAGGCCTAGAGAATCTGAAGCAGAGCAGAAGACATGTTTGGTACAAAATAGGAACAAAAGGGACTGGAGAGCTAAGTAGGAGGTCTGACCGTGAAGGGCATTAAAGGCAAACTAAAGACTTTTTTTTTTTTAATCTTAAAAGAAATGAAAACCCACTGTTGTTGTTGTTGTTCAAACTAGGGAAACAGCATGAATAGACTCGCCTTCAAAAATGACCCTACTCACATAGTAGGGAACAGATTGGAGGGGGAGCGAGTAGATACCAGAAGGCCACACAGTGGACAGTGGTCCAGCAAGGTGGTCACAGTGCACACAAGAGACAGATCCCAGGGATACAGAGGAGAAAATGGCAGCAAGGTTTAGGTGACGGATTGACTGAACATGGGGGCTTGAAGGAGGAAGTGTGTATGGAGGAAGACGCCTGGGTTTTTGTCTTAAATAATTGGGTGGTTACTGTTGCCATTTACTGAACAGGGAGAAATCAGGTTTGGGAGAAAATTTTGCATTCACTTTGGAAACATTAAGTCTGAAATAGCCTTTAGACATCAGAGAGATGTCAAGTCAAAAGCCTCATATAAAAGTCTGAGGAGATTCATAGGCTAAAAATAACTTGAAATCATCTCTCTGCACATGGCAATCAAAGTCTTGGATAGAGAAGATACCTGTGGAAGAGACTAGAGTGAAAAAGAGACCTAAGTTCGAATCTGCAAAGAATTCCGGGGTCCAGCAAGTTTGGACGCCATATTTTCCTAGATATTTGTAATGCAATCAGTGTAGCAATTTAATCATTTTTTCCAACATTCCCAAAATGTTTTGGTCAACATATTATTTTCTACAAAATCAATGATTCAAGAAAACTCTTTTGGGGAAAAAAACTATGCAGATTATTACTATGGAAAATTTTCAATTTTTTGTTCTGTTACAAATAGATCAACCAATGAAACCATCTTTTCCCACCTGTTAATAGAATTTGCATATCTGAGTTACAGTGCAATGTATTGCTTTTTTCAGGTGACATTTGAGAATTTTCAATTTCCCTTATTCTTTGCGTATGTATATGTGCGACATTGCTCCACATTTTAAACGATGGAAGGATGAAAACCTCATATATCAGCACACGCCTAGCAACATGCTAAACTGAATGTTCTTTGAAAGTGTGGTGCTTATGTTTATCTGACTTGTGTCTGATTTATGTCAACAATATGGTCTTTCTCTGAGTGGAACACTTTGAATCCAAGGACATGACTTGAAAATTCTCTGTATCTCATGGGGAAATAAATGGGAACATTAAAAGAAGACAGATGTCACAACACAAATTCTGATTTTTGATAAGGAAACACAAATACCAACTGAAAAACATTTAGGACAATTATTTTTAAAGCCACTACTGGTAGCAGTTTTCTACTCTATTACTGTTTCTCAAAAGAGTAAGTGGAATAGAGTGAGATGTGTGAGATTCATTTAAAAATAATTGATGTTTGAATTACTACTTTTTAACTTGCCCACATTCAACCATTTTATTAAATAAAGCATTGATTACTTTTCTCTGTTGTATGTTAGAATCATGTATCTTAAAACCAAGAAGTCTGTAAACAAGGTCAATAAGTCAGCCTTAAGGCCCAGCCACCTTTCTTTAGCACTTCTAAGAGAATGGGGAGGAATGAGAGCGTGAAAAATATACATACTAGGACAATGATTATGAGCCTGGGTTTTGGAGTCAAAGAGCCCTGGGTTTAATTTCTAGTTCTAGGCCATGCTGGTGCTACCTATTGAGTTATTTAACCTCTTTGTGCCCTATATCTACAAACCCAATAAGATTTGAGAGTTAAAAACAATAATGTATGTAAACTGCTTAGTATAGATAAAATGATTTTTGAAGATCACGATTTTTCAATAGATTATCTACTGAGGCAGATTGGGTATCCCAATTCCAAAAGATCATGTCAGAATTATCTGCTAGCCTTATTTAACAGTATAGCATATTGGAAATTTTCTTTAAAAGTGACATCTCTACATTTCTTGTACAAAATAGCCAGATTCATTCATCTTAACTTATATTTGAAGTACAAACATTTTTGGTATAATCCACTTTATAGGTGTTGATGTAATTCAATGGTCTATTGGATACTGTAATAGAAATTAAAATATTTCTTTATACTTCATTTATACCTTCTTAATTTATTTATCACTTGTAGATATTCCAGGATCAGAGGCAACTTAAGTAAAGCAGCTAAGGGTGACAAACTCTGATTCTCCTCAATTTTATAGAACACAATACAAACATTTTTAGAGTACATGAAGTTGAACTTTTATTTGGAAAGTTGAATTTCATGTATAAGGAAAATATTTTTAAACCATACATATTCATAAGCATCATACAAACACTGCCTACAATACCAACACATTTTAATCAAGTTCTACTACGAAGACTAATCTAAGTCAAAGGAAAAGGCGATCAAGTGAACCTCTTCTCCATACCGTTTACCTCTTTTGACAGTGTAATTAAACAATGTAAGGTACAAAACAAAGTAAGTTTTGGCTAAACTCTACTCATTTTACCGTAGGAACACTAGGATATTCACTAGCACAGATTACGAACTCAATCCCATTATAATGAATTTAAAATAGTTACAAGGATCATATCTTAATGGCATGTAAACATATTCAGGGTTTCAATTGGCAATTATGTTTTAAATGCTTAGAAAAACACACCAACATTTCTCATTATCCTCCTCTCTTTAGCTTCTCTCTTCCATGAGTACAAAATAGGAAAAAAAATATTATTTGAGAATTCCAGCATAAATTCACTGTGCTCTCCATTTTTATAAACATGGGTACATCTAAAATATCGATGCCTTTATGCCAAGAGAACAAAACCACCAAATTCACATTTTTCTTATAAATAGGCATGCAAAATTAGTGGAAAACACGTTTGTATAGCAAAGACCCTGCTTAATTTTTCTTCTGATTCATAACTTTCAGTGATATGATGCACATCATACTGCTCACCGAACAGTAGACTTATTTTATTTTCTGTAGATTTGTATTCTATAAAAATATATTTATGTGCTCACTGGGGAAAAAGTTGAGTTGGTGTGTGGGGGGTGACTTTTAGATAGATAATTAGATTATACGTGGATTTATGAAGTTAAAAGGCATCTTAGCTTTTATCATTGTCAAATTCTTTTCTCCATAAAAAAGAACACCCTGTGACAGAGATAAGGTAACAGAGATGATCATTAGCACTTTAGAATTGGGACAGTTTGAAGCAAAGGATTTAAGCGACTAGCCTAAGGTTCCTGGACAAAATCAGTGCTGGAACCAGGAAGAGAACTTGGACTTCCCCACCCTTGGATGGCTCTCTAGGAACTCATCCCCATCAACCATCTTCCAGATTATGTACAACCTACTATATTAAAATAATATTGACAGGAGACTGGAGGAAGTGAGTGCAGAGTCAAAGAAGAACAAAATCGTAACTATCAGCTGCTGCCTTATCACGCAGTGAGCATTTTGCAATTAATCATCGACCATTTATAATTACCATTGCACATCCTGGGCCATGTTTGTTTGAGGAAAAAGAATGAAATCCATTTTAGCCCACTTGGGTCTCTGCTTTTTCATTGGAAGCTTGCTCTGATTCATAAAACTTATGAAGAATATTATTTCACAATTAAAATCAGGTGCAATCATAGATCTAGTCCTTGTGTGCCAAAAATTCCCCGTAGAGGGCAGTAGTATTGAGGAAAGGTAATAGTGATAGCAAAAGATAGTCGTAATCCAATTTCAACTTTCCTATCTGGACATTTTGACCAGTTAGAAAACATAAATAGGAAACATTCATTCTCAGACAGCTGAAGGAAAACCATCCAAGTTTAGGAAGAACAAATATTTCAGTCTTTGTGTCAACTTCTGACTTAAAGATTAGAAAATTTCTAAGCAATCTACTCCTAACGATGTTTGACATGGCGTCCAACCTGCACGACTCTTTCAGACCAGTTTTTCGCTGATGAAAGAGAAGAGGAAATAGACTATAGCCGAACTAAACTTGCAAGTTCCAACCTTTCCCTCACCAATAGCTGAGCACAACTTCCTCTCAAATAAATCAAAACGTGATGACTGTTTCTCCAGAAAACTGCGCATTAGAAATCAGACGTGGATGGAGCTCAACTTTCCCTGATAGAGATGTGGCTCCTCACACTCACGTAGGTTGGAGGACCAAAATGCCGTCTCCCTTTGAAATGTTGGCTTCCAGGAGTGTGATCAAATCTTGAGCCCATGAAGTTTTAAAGAAGACAGTCTTTTCCTATGCATTTTATAGAATATGTGATATTAAAAGGACAATTATCTATTCCATGTGTATCACCTCATTGGCCATTGTAAATGCCCCTAATTTTGGACCCCAAGAAATATAAGGCATCACATAAACCAAAGCGGAGGATTTAGCAGTATACACCAATAATTACAGTTCAAAAAATAAAATAAAATGTGTGAGTCAAGTTCATTTAAATACAGTTAGGATTTCCAAGGGAAGGTTAAAAATGTTTCCATAAAATGAAAAGTTGAACACATTTCACTGATATGTACACACAGTCCTTAACATTATTTTTAAAACATGTCTGCGTACAATTTTAAAAGGACCATTAGCCCATGTACTAGGAAATAAATTGCCCGAATTTGTACTGACTTTAACAGAAGGAGAACATAGGGGAGACCAAGTCTCACAATAAAAAATGTTTACAATGGGACATAGGCAAGCGTATGTATAGGAAATTTATGCTGTAAACAGTTTTTCTTGCAGAGAGACTGGGGTAGGAACACACTCAACAACAAAACCTTATTTTGAAAAATATGAAAACATTCCCCTCAATATCCATGTGATATTTTATTGTGAGATGGATGAACCAAGCAATTTAAGGACAAAATCCAAGTGCTTTATACAGAGTCTTCTGATTTGTATCCTCATGTCAGTGTTTGTAGTGCTGAAATGATGAAAATGGCATCTTACTATATACTCTAGCTGTACAGAGGGGCCTGTTAATGTGCTCTTTGTAACGCAAAATAAAACCCATCTACCTTTTAAATTGTGCAAATATTAACAAAATATGTACAATGCATTCATGAAATATATTTCAAGCATATCATTATACAACCATAGAAAAATGGTGAAAGCAGTCAATGTAGGAATGCAGATATAAAATAGACATAACTATTATAATGGAGAACAAATGACACCCTATGCCTGTCCTTTGATAAAATAACCTCCTGGCCACCATTTCCTTTGCAGCTAAATTTAGTCCAAGATAAAATAGAAAAAACAAAAACGAAAATCCCATGATGTCCGTGGATGTCATAACTAATGGAAATATATAAAAAAAAATTCATGTTGAAATTAAAAAGTTATAATTCTGTTTAAACAAGACCATCTCTGGGCACATAGTTAGGAGCTCAATAAATACTAGTTGATTGTTTACCTAAGACTTCTGCTACTAAAAGTTAAATAATAAATTTAGACTGTATATATTCAACGAACTGTTTTAATAAGACATTCATATTCCTTTTTACATTTTAAATAACCAGTTTGTTTTCTGATCCTTTAACCTGTAGTGAGGCAAAGTCACTAAGACAGTTCTCAGAGACTGACTAGAGATGGGCGGTGGGGGAAACCCCCCAGGGTAGCAACAGCTACGCAAACACACTGAACGGTTAACCCAGCAAACGTGGAGCACACGGAGGGGCGCTTTGGATTCGGTTGAAGTGAATCTAAATACAAGGGGTTGTTTTGTGTTCTGAATTTTGAGCACCTGAAACGAAAACAGAAACAAAAACAAAACACGGGCTGGGAGGGCTTGGTAGTTTATTTTTTGAAGGCAGTGCTATTTTTTCTCAACACAATTGCGGGTTGTCGGATTTTGAATCTTCAGCCAACATGGTTCTATTCCTAGAGGAACGTTTTTGCTCCTTTGAACAGATACATACGGAAGGTTGAGGTGAAGCAGTAACGGGGCTACATGAGCTGGGTTTATGCCCGGAGTGGAAAAGTTGCTGTAGAACTTCCATTGCTTTCAACAGATCCTTTCTCCTTAGAGCCAGCGTACGCGCCGATGAATGACCCATCTTCATTGAACAGAGCGTGCTCTCCCTCTCCGTACTCAACTAAGCTGTCAGCGCTTTCTGTGGCCTGCATATCCCTGTTCAGGGACCGAAGGCTTCCTTTGAGAGGTTTCTCATCACTGTCACTAGGAAACAAAAAGAATTCTTTAACAACTTGAATATTTATATTCATATAGAGAGCTAAAGTCTTTTTTTTTGAGACAGAGCTTCAAGCTGTCGCCCTGGGTAGAGTGCAATGACATCACAGCTCACAGCAACCTCCAACTCCTGGCTCAAGCCAGTCTCCTGCCTCAGCCTCCCAAGTACCTAGGACTAGAGGTGCCCACCACAATGCCCGGCTATTTTTTGGTTGCAGCCGTCATTGTTGTTTGGCAGGCCTGGGCTGGATTCAAACCCGCCAGCTCAGGTGTATGTGGCTGGTGTCTTAGCCGCTTGAGCCACAGGTGCCAAGCCTAGAGCTAAAGTCTTACAATGTTCAGGCCACTCATATAGGCGTTGAAGACAGGGGCATAAAACCCAAATGACACTGACACAAATAAATGTTTAAAAAGTCATAGCTGATGGGGACATGGTGAGCAATGTTGCAAAACAATTTTCTATTATTCACAAATTTCTGCTTCCTTTTCAAATGGGGAGGCCAGCTTTTGTGGAATGAGTGGAGATACTTAGTGGGACAGGATTTGTAACTTATTTACCTAAATTCCATACTAAATTCCTTTAGTGGGACACGATTTGTAACTTACCTCTGCAGGTGCACGTGGTAAGTAACAGGTACGTATCAGCAGCAACCTAAGTTCATAATGGTCATGCTAAAGAGTAGCTTTAAAATGTTTTAGCTACTTCAACTAGACCTTCAGCTTCCATAAAAACAGAGTCCATGTGTCATGTGTTATACATGGAGCTTCAAGAAAAGTCTAACACACTTACATCTGACCAGTAATTCTTTATACACCCCCAGTCCCACATAGAAAATCAGTTGCTATTACTTAAGTAGCCTTGATTATACAATATAGTTCTGCACATTGTAAGGATAAAAATATTTTTGTGAATTTAAGCTTATCACTTGATAAGTGTGTGTTTTAATGCATTTTAAAATGCAATGTTAGCTCTACCTGTATTCACCAAAGGTTTCGTCTTTTACTGACTGAACTTCTGGATCGGGATGCAAGTCTTCCTTTTCTTTCACTACCAATAAAGAAAAAACAGCAGATGAAGTAACATGAGGAATGTTTAGAGGACTTTTCAGCAGTGCTATTGAAAGGTAGATGATCCATCTGAACAGCACGGCTCAGGTCTTTTGAAACCTGTGAGGCCAGGTCTTGTGTGGCTTGGCTGTCCTTGGCAGCTGTGTCTGCAACAGTCATCAATTCGTGTAAATAAAAAAGAAAAGGGGTATTTTGGATCCTGCCTATTTGTCATCAGATTTGCAGCGTTTTATAATTTTCACATGACTACTCAATATCATGTGGGCTTAACAGTATCATTGGAAGAGTCCAACTTAGTTTGGTCTCTCGGTGGAGACCAAATTACTTAACATTCATTCTACTATGCAAACTTTTTACAGATGGCAGAGGTTCCTATTAGATCTATATCTAAATTAAAGGTGATTTAAAATGTCAATCACTTGGCTTTTATACATTACTCCCTCACACAAAATTGTCACAACAGTCAGAACCTTCAGTTCTACACTAATATTTAAATTCAGATTTATCTAGAGTAGGATACAAAACAGGAAAGTGCTTGTGTTCTCCTTTGCTAAAAAGAAAAAACTCAAATCATCCTTCTTCATTTTACTGCTATATGCAAAGACTTAAGAGATTTTCTTAGTGACCCTATGAGATGAAATGCTGATTTTTTTTTGTTTTTGTAGAGATAGAGTCTCACTTTATCACCCTTGGTAGAGTGCCGTGGCATCACACAGCTCACAGCAACCTCCAACTCCTAGGTTTAGGCGATTGTCTTGTCTCAGCCTCCCAAGTAGCTAGGACCACAGGCACCCACCACAACGCCCAGCTATTTTTTTTGTTGCAGCTTGGCTGGGCATGGGTTTGAACCTACCACCCTTGGTATACAGGGTGCCGGCACCCTACCCACTGAACCACAGGCACAGCCTGATTTTTTTTTTTAAGGGCATGATTTTAGGAAACAATTTTAGAATTTGGACAAGGCCACACTTCCCAAGTGATTATTTTTGTTGGTAATATAGTGGAAAGCAATATCTCTTCAAAGTTTTCCACTAATCAGCCAGAATATTCCTTAGTCACTATAAACCTAATTTGTAATCATGCAATCTTCAGAGGGAGAAGTAAAGTGTATAATTGTGTACATCATCCACGTCGTTTTACAAAAACTCAGAAATTCTGTCCTTGTCCATCATGGGTCCCTAGTCAATAATGGGCTGGATGAATCACAAGACAACAAAGAACTTCTCACTACTCTGAACATCATCAAATTCATAGCAAATCTTTCTTTCTAACTTTTATATATCTTACATAAAAATCTTACATAAGCTGTAAGATATTTATACTAAGGAAAAATTAATAATAGTGCAATATGTATCTCTGAAAAAAGACAAAACAAAATTGGAAGTTGAATGAAATTAAAGTAAAAGCAAGCATTATATTAACACTATAATTTTTTTAATGTTTTATGTACCATTAATTCAAGAGGCAGTGTATTCAACATATACATATATTCAATTGGTCAATTACAATAAAGTTGGCTGGTGGAGTCAGCACTCTTAGAAAGCACTAGTGCAAAAAACCTGCATCGTGTATGTCTATAGAGAGGGACAGGCAACAGATGGACCCCTTCCTCTTAAAACATTAAAACATCTGTGTGACTTAATAATATGTCTTCTCAATATCTCTGATCTTTTACAGATAGACAATAGAAGCTTGTAAGGATTATGTGGTAAGCCTTGCTGGGGGCTACATTAAGCATTAGAAACTAGAAAACAAGTAGCCAACTAGAAACAATATTCCAGAACATCCATACTTCCTTTGGTTAGTTAATTTGGCAATATGTTTTCCTCCTCAGTACATTGCACATCTAACTTGCTAGTAGAAATTTGAATTAAATGTATATATGTATATATATATATATATATATTTTTTTTTTAAAGGATGTCTTGGAAGAATGCCTCCCAGAAAATACTATTTAATAAGTTGAAAATCCCAGAAAGAAAGTTTTACCTGAGTACTTTCCACCTCTGTTCCTCTTCACAAAGCAAACAGTTAACAAAATTAGTGTGAGCAGAGCAATCGCACACATCAAACCAATAAACCAGCCTTGGGTGGAGATGTCATCGTATAAACCAGCGTATTCTGTCATATAAAGAGAAAGCACAGCGCTGAACATTGGGAACAGTTTTTGGTGTTACGTTATGATAACTTTCAAGAAAATCAGGCATCCTTTCTCAATAGCATCCATTTTATTTTTCTTTTGAATGACCCCAGAAGGAATGTGATTTGAAGGGCAACATAGCGGGCAGGGAGAGAGAACACTGATAAATCATTCCTGCTTTATTTAGAAAGGGCCTTCCTGAAGATTTTAAGAAAGAAAATCAAAGAAGGACAGTGAAGGTGGCATTAAATACAGAAGCGGCAGAGAGAGCGCCAAGCACAAGCTGCCTTGGTTACGAGCACATCGCCATGGAGCCTCGGTGGGTTGGGTTGGGTTGGGTTTCGTTTTCTTTTCAGTTTGTGTTATTAACAGGTGTTAATTAGCAGGAGATATTTTGAGGCCACAATTCTGATATAAACAATAAGGGATAAAATCAGTGGGACCATCGTGCAGCAATTTTCGTCTTGATCATTTTGAAATGTCATGCCAAAATACAGTGAAATTATGATTTTTTATAGCTAATGGACTTCATGTTCTTTTCCTTCATATAGGACGTAGGTAACATTAAATAATCTACAGGACACAGATTTACTGCCTAAGACTGCCCCAAATAGAAGCTCATTTCTCACCTCTCCCTCTTGTCTCAATTACATCTTGAAAAATGCTATCATTATCAGCCCAATTCTTAGTCATTAGGCGAACTATATGTTCAGCTCCTGGCTCAAGTACCTCTATCGGGTGATTCTTTTGAGTAAGATTTACTCCTTCTGATATCTTCCCGATACCTTTACCTAAGAAACGTACACAGTTAAATCATATAAATTGCAATCATTGACATAAAAGGACATAAAAGGTAAAAAATATTATTGTTTGAGATGAATCCGAAAGCCACTTATACCATCTTTTTCTCAGATAGGTTTTGAATTGCCAGAAATCAAGGAGTGACATTTCAAGACTTTCTTTTTGAATATACTGAAATTGAGTAAATGAAATGAATTCAGTTCATGGTCACTTAGGATGATATACTTGTTCATGAAATGTTACTATAAATCTGCCTGGTCTTACGACAGGCTCAGAATCATAGGCTTTAACATATTATACAACATAATTTAGATCACCTTGGATTTTCATAAACCTGGTGGGAAATGGAATGTGGCCTTTTTGACTTATAATTGATTGCTCTCCATTGCTATGATCCTATGATTCTAACTAAGTATATATTACTTCTTTTTGCCTTACTCTGCTCTATAAATACTGATGAACTAGCATCATGATGTGGTCATATAGTAAGTATTTGAAATTGATGGAGACTTAAGCTACATAAAGTTCAGGTTTATAACTATATAAAAATGAAATGGTTTTACTGGCATTTTGAAAATGCCCTGAAAAGTTAGTAATTTAAAAAAATCAATGGGTCAATATGTTAATACGAGGATCTTATGGTAGCAGATAAAAATGAATCAAGTTTAATTAAACTATATTGGTTTCTGGGTTTTTTTTTAAGAGACAGAGTCTTAGTTTGTTACCCTCAGTAGAGTGCTGTGGTACAGCTTACAGCAACCTCCAGATCTTGGGCTTAGGCAAGATCCTCAGCCTCCCAAGTAGCTGGGACTATAGGCGCCTGCCACAATGCCCAGCTATTTTTTTGTGGCAGTTTGGCCAGGGCCAGGTTTGAACCCACCACCCTCAGTATACGGGGCCGGTGCCCTGTTCACTGAGCCACAGGTGCCACCCTGGTTTCTGATCTTATAACCAAATATCTAAAATATTTTTGCATTTGCATTCCATAGTTTTGCTAGGAATCCACTCCCAGCACATATAAAACAGAAAATGTTAGCAATTTAAAAATGAAATAAAATATGTTCTGTACTGAAAATATGAATGGTTATGTGTTACACATCAATATTTTCACCACAAAATAAAAACTGATGATATAGTTACTAAATATCAACAGGGCTTCGTTTAAATAGGCACCATGGGAGGCCAGTTATACGAGCAAAGCCTTTAAGATTGAGCACCATTGAAAGAGAATACAGTTAATTTTGACCTTGAGAAACAGAAATATTAGTATAATGTTAAGTAGTGCAAGCTTTTGGAAAACAGCAAAGCAAGTGATTTATTCAAACCACTAAAGAATATTGTGATTAACCCCCTTTTTTCTCCCACTTAGGTTACAGAATGGGATCCACTTGAAAATTGAAGTCACCACAAGAAAACAACCAGAAAAAAAATGCGAGCGGATCAAATCCCATTCTTGGAATAAATGCCAAATAAACTTAAAATCAGCTATTTTGACAGAGCAAGAAGAAGAAAGACACACAACAGTAGATTCTAATTTGCACAAAAGTCATCATTTTTAGAGTATTTGGTGATATCAAGATGTATCTCCTCAGCAGAAATATATATATATATATATATATATATTATTTTTTTAAAGATCATGTTGAAATCCAGTGAGAAAAGAGATTACAATTTTTTTTTTCCTGTAAATACGGCAAGACACGCCTATAGAAGAGAAATCAGGGTCAGCTGGGGAAGGGGGCAGTGGCTGGAATACGGAAAATGCAGATTCCTGAAAAAGAGCACAAACACACTGTGAGTGACACTTTAAAACTGCTGACACAGAAGACAGGGAGAAAGTCTGCCTTAGCTACGCAAGCGCGTTAGCTGTATTTTTAGTTTGAAGGAAAGAGGTGGCATCAGTTATGAAATCACACAAGCACTATTTCCATTCTTCAGAAGACAATTTCTCAAGCATGAATGTAAACAAGCCCAACTTTTTCCGCATGTACACTAGAATGCATAATGTTTGGAAGGCAATTCTGGGAATATCTTTTTCCTCTGACATGCTGCAAATTGGCAAGAATGGGATTAGCACTTCTCCCTATAGGATGGTCTTGGTTCTATCAAAAATAACAGCCATCTCCATGCTTTAAATTCTCTTTTTAAAAATGCAAAAATTAGGGCCAGACGTGGTGGCTCACTCCTGGAATCTCAGCACTTGGGAGGCTGAGGTGGGTGGATTGCCTGAACTCCCAGGTTTGAGACCAGCCTGAGCCAGAGTGCAACCCTGTCTATAATAATACCTGGGCATTGTGGCAGGCGCCTGTAGTCCCAACCACTTGGGGGGCTGAGGCAAGAGAATTGCTTAAGCCCAGGGGGGTTGAGGTTGCTGTGAGCTATGATGCCACATCACTCTACCCAGGTAGGGTTTTGAGAGAGAAATTATTTGACTTATCTACTTTTCCCACAATGAGTTTGGTCTCAGCACTTGTCGCTCCATCTCAGTTGTTTTAGTTTGAATTCCTGAGCTCCAGGGATCCTCCTACATTGGCCTCCCAGAGTGCTAGGATTACAGGTGTGAGCCCCCACACCTAGATAGTCTTTCTTTTTATCTTATTAGTGTGTACATCAGTTCCTCTAATCCATTTCCCTTCTAATTCCTCTGCTAAGGCCCTCCTGATCTCATAGAAAGCTCAGTGAGTACACTGCTAAAATCATAACTGGAGAACCAGTTTTTGAAAGGAAATGGTTATAAGGTAGGAAAAAAATAGAAAAGTGAAATTGAATTAAGAGAATTGTTCTACAAGTGGAGCTATAGATTTATGGGCCATTTTTAACTGAGCCAGTCATTTGGCATCAATCACTAGACATTAAAATAAAATTGACATATGACTCAATGTATATGAACCAAGGCATGGGATTGAAATGTATTGAATCTATGTATGAAAATGTCTACCAAGGGAAGAGACAACTATTTTTGTGTATGAGAACATTTTTGAAAGAAAAATATCCCTCTACTAACCTTGTGACTACCTTTATGACCTTCTGTCCCCTATTTTAACTAAGTAAAATTATAGTTCCTGACCTTGTATACACTAATCTATAATTTGATCAGTGTTCTGCAGAAATCCATAAATTGAGTCAATGTGAACTTTACAAACAAGAGTAATAAATCCTCTATCTGTATTGGTGGAAAACAGAAGGTCAGGCGGATTTGGGTCACAATCATTTATAATTTGCAATGACTGGCAGGATGCTTTCCTTTGGGGAAGTTGTTTATAAAGACACTGTAGAACCATTATGTACTTACTGCCTTCTCCTAAGGTGGAGCTTTCCTCGGTGATCGGTTTTCCACAGCCTTTTGAAGTACAAGCCCTCAAGTAGAATTTGTACTTAGTTGTTGCACTGAGGTTTGACAGACGCCAGCTGGGCTTGGATGGAGTTGTAATGTTGATATCATTTAATTCTCCAATCTCATAGGTGTCATTTACTGAAGAAATAAACATGAACCACACCACCTCAAATTTAGTCATGCTTACCAATTCAAGTCACACTGGTTTTCATTTCTCCTGTGCTAATACTTATAGTTATCTTAATTATTTGTGACCATCATTTAATTCAATGAGGTACACACAATTGCCATGACCATACCATACATGGCAAATCTGGGGTCTACCAAGAATAAGTACCTTGCCCCAAAGAAGAGCCAGCAATTGGCAAATTGCGGGTTGAGTCCCAATCAAAGGGGTTTGACTGAGTCCCTCAAAAAGGGTTTGAGCCTTTTGACTCCAGAGAAACATCCTTAATCACTATGCCATACTTCAGTCAACCTTCCAGCTTCTTATTACCTATTAAAAATGACAAACTTCTTTCCATTTGATATATTCATTGTATCTTTGACTTAACTACTTCTAATTTCCCTTTGGGGAATAATTTGGTCAATGATATATGTGTGTCTTCTACAGTTTCTACTTTAATGTATTAGCACCAACTAAGTACTCAGTAAACACAGAATTAATAAATGAGTAATTATAGTAAATATTTTTAAATATCTTTATACTAAGCACTATATAAAGTGCCAAAGGAAACAATATGAATGAGATAACTTCTTCCAAAAAATTTTCAGCCTAGAAAGGATGTGAAATGTAAGATCCAGCAAGGTCTTTGTGGAAAAGAACAGATTACTCTAAGATTATTATAAGAATAGTTCAGTAGATGAAATATGTCCAAGATAGTGGAGCAATTTGTGGCAAGAATAAATTTAAAATAAATTCTCCAGACTCACTTCAAGATAATATATGTAAGAAATTGTAATATTATTGACATAAAAATGCCTTCCTCAAACGACACAATGTAATTAGATCAATGAAAAGGAAAAACAAACTAGGCATGAAAACATAGGAAGAATGTGATAAAATCATCACTGTTTATAGATTATTTGAAAGCATAATTATGCAACACTAGACTCCACTGAAAAACTACTACAATCAGTATAAGAATTCAGGAGAGGCTTGGCACCTGTAGCTCAGCAGTTAGGGTGCCAGCCACATGCACTGGAGCTTATGGGTTCGAATCCAACTCTGGCTCACCAAACAATGACAACTACAACCAAAAAATAGCCAGGTGTTGTGGTGGGCACCTGTAATCCCAGCTACTTGGGAGGGAGAGGCAAGAGAATCCTTTAAGCCCAAGAGTTGGAGGTTGCTGTGAACTGTGATGTCACAGCACTCTACCCAGGGTGACATAGTGACTCTGTCTCAAAAAAAAAGGGTGGCGCCTGTGGCTCAAAGGAGTAGGGCACTGGCCCCATATACCAGAGGTGGTAGGTTCAAACCCAGCCTTGGCCAAAACTGAAAAAAAAGAAAAAAAAAGAATTTAGGAGAAGATATATACATACAAGTAGCTACAACTTAGAACACCTAATAGCAACAACAAAAAAGATAAACTCCCTAAAAAAGTCTCAGTGATTTATGAATAGAGAGCAAAATAATTGTATAATAATATCATTTTATTTAAAAAATCCACATATCAAGCAGCATGATAATCACTACAATTTTTATTATTTCAACTTCTCTCTTATATTCTAAGAACTTATTTTCAAAATATTATAAATTTAAATCTCCCATACAGATCAATATGAAGGTTAGAATTTAATTAATGTTCAGCTGCTTCTTATTAGGATAAGAAAAAGGCATATCTTGAGAAAATAAATTGATATTTTAAAAAATCCTCAGGTATGTCTTCAGTTCTTCCTTTTTTTTTTTTTTTTTTTTTTTTTTTACTGGTTTGTGGAAAAGTATCAGGTTAAGAGCGCAGCAGCCAGAATGAAACTGACTTTGGTTTGTATTCTTACTTAACACTTATTTTACTGCTTGACTTGTAAAATTCTATACAGCTCAATTCCCTCATTCATAAAGCAGTGATGGTACATATCTCACAGATTTTTTATTTAAATGAAGTACTGCAGGGAGATTGCTTAGTATTGATCCTGCATGGCAAGCACTTGAAAAAGCTAAAATCTACCTCTGCTGAGATAACACCTTTATCTGTTTAAACACATGTGCTCAATTCAGCTGAGGCATTCAAAGCCAAAGCGAATGTGTGACCTGGATGGCTACAACCCTTCAAGTGATGTGTGAGTGGCACCTCAGGGCTTGGATCAAGTTGACTTTTGTAAGCAATGGAGAGTGAGTCTCCGTAGTTCAAATGTTTGGGAAATTCATATCCTCAGAGTCTAAGATTTTCAGGGTGGAGCTTTTACTAAGGTTTTCTATGATGTCAGTGCCTCAACTTCCATTTTAAGATGACATGTAGACTTGAAGACTGTTAGAGATGGGAGACACATTGCTTTTACTCTAATGGTACGATGGCATGTGGACAGAACCTACTGTGAGAAATGATCAAAGATAACACGTTAGTCCCCTCACTATTTCTCTGCACCAGCAGGCTGCCAATACAGGATTAAGTAAATACATGTGTCTGAGGCACAAGGAGCGTAGTATGGAATTTACATGTGCTCTGAATCTCCATTATATCACTTAATACTTCTCTTTGGCATGTTTCTTAATCTCAAAACTTTTTATATGTAAACCTGTTTGTGATATCTGTGGGTATGTTGGTTTTTTTCTGAAATAAGGTTCAGCAAACTTTTCTGTAGAGGGCTAGATTGTAAATATTTTAGATTTTACAGGGCATGTTGCAATGACTCAACTTTGCCACTCTAGTGAGAAAGCAGCTCTAGATAATATATAAACAAGTGAACATAGCCATGTTCTAATAAAACTTTATTTATAAAAACAGACAGCAGGCTGGGTTGGCCTGCAAGCTGGTTTATAGACCCCTGTGACAGGAAGAAGGATACCAGCCTACAAACCGTGAACATAAGTCATTGTTAGACATTACACTGCAAACTAAACACTCAGTTAACAAAATGAATGTTCATAGACTAGCTCCAAATCCAATTTTTACTTACTTATCTGGTATTGTAATAGATAGCCAGTTAAGTTTCCATTTAATTTCTTAGGTAGTCCCCAAGATAAAGTGGCAGTGTCTTTATCAACTTTGATAATCTTGAGAAAAGTTGGCTGTTCAGGTACTAGAAAACACAAGACCAAGAATAAACACTCACAAATCAGTACATTTCTAAAATAAATAAGCCCCATTAGATTACAAATCTTCATAAAAGTTTAGAAGTTAATCCATATGAAGTCAAGTATTAACTAATTATGAATAAGGAAAAAGATATTGAAGATGGCCACTGGATAATTTCCATTGTTGACATTATTCTATGTTCTTAATCTCTCACCTCCTTCTGGTGTTTGAAATATATAAGCCTCACTTTCTGGACCAGCTCCTTTAGAATTGTAGGCTAAGACTGTCAAGTGAAATTCACTAAAGGCATCTAAAGAAGGAACCATTCCAGAGTTTCTCTGTCCTGCAAATCTTAGAAAGTTGACTTCTTTGGGGTGTGTTCTTCCATCCAGCAGACTTTTTGTTTTCCACCAATTTATCTGCAATGAAAATAGGGATCCTTCAACATCTCAACCATCATGGCAGATTCTGTCTTGGCTTCTTCCAAAATCAATTCTTATGTATACTCAGGAAAAATACTAATTCAACAACAACAAAAAGAAAAAAATATGATAAATACCTGATATCCTTTCAGACGCCCATGTACTCTGTCCTTGGGAATTGGGGACCAGGTAACTTTAACTAACGTGCTGTTTATCACATCCACCCCCCGGATCACTGGAGCTGTATCAGGATCTGTTAAGCATGTAAGTAAGATCGGTGAGCTTCCAATAACCTCCAGACTTGGTTATTATGATCCTTTTTAAAAGGTGATTTTCGTAATGTTTAATCAGGGAAAAGCTCTTTTGTGAAATCAATTCTAAATGGAGCCAAAAGAATTTCTCATCACAGTGGAATTTCTCAGCCCCTGTAGATTTCTAGAAGAGGGTTTTCCATGCCACACCAAGAAATGAGTTCCTCCAGATGAATATAACATAGGAAAATATATTCAGAAACCATTCCGTGGGCACTATGCCTCTTAGCAAGTATAGACAAGTAACATAAATAAAAATCGCTTAAGAAGTTTGTTAATTAAATAAAATAACAGCTAACATTAATTGAGCAGGCCATGGGCCATTTATTCAAAGGGCCTTACCTTGATTGGCCCATGTAATTTTTAGCATAAGCTTGAGAGGAGGGTATTATTGTCCTTATTTCATAGGGGTTCTTTTTTCTATAAAGAAATAAACTAGAGTAGTCAAGTCTAATTTATTAATATTAAGACCACATGTGATATGTTTTTCATGTCCTTTTACTTGGGCAGAAGAATTTACATAGCTGGTAAATAAGCAGTTAGTTATTTCTCTTTCTCAATCATCTTCCCTTTTGGGGTTAAATTATTACTTTGGATTCTGGGAGAGCAATGAGAATAACTCTCAACGTCATTTCACTGCATTAACAATACAGAATGCAGTATCTTTTTCTTTTTCTAAGAATCTATTTGCAGCAGTTACTATGGTATCAATATTTAAAAGTATAATCAAATCACCAGAACCTCACAACTGTGTGTGTGTATAATTCTATACACCAGTCTGCGTTTGTGTCTCATCAGTTGTGACAGGTTGTGACAGGAGGGCTCCAGACGTGCGACTGAGACTCAGAGCATGACTGCACATGGCTGTCAGGAAGTCCTCGACAAGTAAGGGCAAATGTAATTTAAAACTTTATCACAATTATGTTGCTTAAGTCATTGTAGTTATGACTCCAGCGCTTTGATTATCAATATAGAAAACAGCTTTGTTAGGAAACTAGATACAATTGAAAATTTTAGGGTCCTTCCTTAGCATTCTATCAGCTGTCCTGCAGTCAATCTTAAGATAGGAACCATGCATTACATCTTTTTTTTATCGTCCACAATTAGTACATCTTCTTTACAAGCAAACATTTGTCAACATAAAAGCAATGTATTTGAGAAACACTGTGATTGAAGTGGTTAGTAGCTTCACATGTGTCACTTACAGTCTTCTCCAGAATAGAGAGTCACTGACAGAGGTTCAGGCCCAGAGCCGAGCTGATTGACAGCCTGGACTTTGACATCATAAGGAGCATAGACAGTGGGTGTCATCACCCGCAGTGTGTGATTTGTGACTGTTTCTTCTTCCCACTCCACTGGGGCTCCCTGTGGCTTCCAAGTCACTCTGTACTCCAGCCCTGGTCCATTCTGCTCCATGGATTTCAAAGGCTACAACAGAAGCAAGATTCATTCAGTTTGATCATACGGATGCTGGCTCAGAGTTGGTGGCGAGCCACCCTAAGTGGTGTAAGAAACACAGCTATGGAAGGGTCATTTCTTGGGAGATCTTAAATACCCCTTCTTGGCTTAGAAGTACTTGTGAACAATTTTTGTCATCAAGTAAGATTAAGTTGGAAAATTAATTCCTCACCTCCCTAAGCAATGGGAAACTTGGGTTATGCCTTCACGATCACATCTAAGCTTTCATATATGAAAAGAATTTACAAAGAAACGCCAGAGAAGGTTTTAGCTTTTACTTACGCCTTCTACTACATTCTACCTTTTTAATCCTAAAGAAATTGGAGAAACAAAAAGGCCATGACCGTGAATTCTTTGGATGTGAATGGGATGCCCCCCAGGGCTTGGCAGGGAGAGTCCTTTCCTCCACTTGAGTCCATCCTTCTCCATTTTTCTTCCATGGAAGAGACAGATTATGTAAATCTTTAACTTTGAAGAACATGTATGTTTATATTTGAGTACCCAGAAGAAGAAGTAGCTCCTTCTCTGTAATAAAATAATTTCCCAGCTCCTTGACTATTCTGCTTCTATTTCTAAGAGAAAATACTCCATTAAGTGATTTATTTTGCTGTCTAAGAACATTTGGTAGAGAAATTTGTAATACAGGAAATTGGTTATTTCTACTCTAGTTTTAATTGAGCACTACTTTAATTTAAAAACCAGTAACCTGATTCATTTCACAAAAAATGGGGATGTGCATTTAGATGAATCAGTTATACAAAATATATTTAAAAATATGATTTTAGTCCTAGATTTAAGTCCTAATTACTATTATATAAATAGTAATTTTGTCTGCATATGTGAGTAATCCTATAATGTCTTATACAGTGTTCTTACAGAACCTGGAAGGTTCCTTTACTCAGTGTAATTTACTAAAATATTTATTAAAGGCATTGACTGAATTAAGTTGAAAGCACAGTACCACATAAGCAAACTAATTTCAAGTGTCTGCTTATTCCAAAGTGAATACTAACATTAGATGGAATAAAAAAAAGTCAAAACAAAAACTTTCTGAGATTTTTCCATAGTCATTTTTTATACGTGTATTCATTGGAAAGTTTTGCTCCAAGATATTTTCTGGTATGATATGGATATAAAATCACCAAAGGCTTTAGTATAGTCCAAATGGCTTTTAGTGCCATGTTGTAATTTGGAAATACGATTTCTTTCATCTCTCACTGACAATAAGCACGTACAAATAATATTACTACATATTCAATTTATACATGTTTTGCTTTAAGGGAAAGAGTTAAATTTAAGAAAGTTCTCTAGAAATTTTTTTTAAAAACTGTACCAATTTTAAGAAAAATATTTTAGGGCTATTGCCAGCCTTTTTGATACCTAGGCTCCTAAAGAAACAGCAGAGATGCTTCGTATTTGGCTTTGAGGCAATGGCCAATCTCAGAAAATTCTAGAATAAGCCCTTCAGCAAAGATAGACTAGAAGAAGCAATGTTAGGGCATGCCAGGAGGCCAGCACATTCCTGCCACAGTGATGTTTCCACAAGTGAAAGAATCTCTAGAAAAGAGATTTTTAGACTTGGGGTCTAAGAATCTCTAAATGGAACCCAAAGACAACTTTCAAAGTGTCTAAGAAGCCAATGCTATTGTTAGGAAGACTTTTTGTACAAAATTATCTGGCAAAAGAGTCTATACTTCTCACAAATTTTCAAAAATATCATGAGCCGACCAAGGTTATAACTACTGGTCTAGAAACTGGACAGACTACTATTTTATTGTTTTTTTAATTTTTTCAACATTTTTATTTATTTATTATTAATTGTATACAACATACTATTTTGAAGTATGGAATGGATAAATTAAGCTAAACGGCTTATACATTACCAAACATACTTCTATTTTTGTGGTTAGAGCACTTAAAATCTAATCTCTCAGCATTTTTCAAGAATATAGTACATTGTTATTAAACACTAGTCATACAGTATCCTATTTAATCTCACTTAATTTCATTTTAAAACAGGTGGATTTTCTTATTATACTTGTAATAGACATAATAAAATCTAGATCCATTAGGAATTAAACAAGTTGGCCTGGTTATATAATAACCAGGTAATTGGAGGAATTCCTATTTCTGAATATTAGTGGGCTTTGAACTTTTTATTTGTTTGTTTCTAGTTATCTCTGAAATTAGAAATGTCTTATTTTATTGAAGGAAGTTAAAATTCATATATATATACACATATGCTTACGAGCGACAGAGATTATCAAGAAAAAATATCCCAATGTAAATTGTAGCTGAATTTGTTGGAGTGGATTTGTTTTTGTGTGTTTTGAGAGAAAGAATATTATCATATTTCAACATTTAAAATATATGAGTGAGTCACAATCCACTTAATATATGTGTGAATTTTAGAAGATCATGCTAACTAAAAAGTCTAGCTTTATCACTAAGTTAAAATAAAATGTTAGCTTCATCAAACCCTGTTCAATGTTAAAAAATAAAAAATAAAACTTTAACAATCAAAAAGTAGAGATTTCTACTCTGCTCCTAGGGCTCATCTGCATTGTTAATCCTTTTGTGAAAGATCAATTTTTTTTTTTTAACAAATTATGTATCTCTAATCACTATCTTGTATACAGAAATTATGCTGTGAGCCAGTCTCTGGAGGGGGTATCATAATTCATTCCCAATATTATCTGCTTGTCCACTTGGGAAATATCTAGCACGAAACTCCTTTTTGCAAGATAATCTATACAAAACAATATTCAAAGAATGAATGTTCTTAAATGTCACTGGCTGTGCTAGTAGTTATTAGATCATTGACACTTCAAGATAAAATGGAACACTAGGGGACTTTTAATGAATGTAACTGTCAATCCAAATCCCTGTGACTGTTTCCTTCCTCTAGTCAATTAATTACTAAATTACATGTCATTTGCTCTTCAAAGAAAAATTCTAACATTGGAAGAGAGCATTAGTAATCAGTGGTGTGTGTCTTTTAGAGGGAAAAGAATGACCTCTGTGTGAGTGGAGCAGGAAGGAAGACCAGAGATTTCCACCATCCTTTCAACATGGCTAAGCACATGGGATTTGAGTGAGGTCATTAAACTCTGGGAGTTTCAGTTTCTTTGTATGAAATAATGAGGCTGACACCTTTGAATGACCATATCTCTCCCAAAAGGAGTGGTGAGGATTAATGAGCTAACATTATTGGAACATAGTGAGCTTCTCTGAGGAACTGGCTTGTAAATTATATACAGTAGAACCTCTGTAAGATGTTCTACCCAAGGGACTATAACAAACTGGTCAACACACGGAAGTGGTCAACATAAGGAACTAGGTTACTGTTTATGTGGTGCATGTCCAGCCTGTGAAAATTAGGTCGACTTAAGGAGGTGGTCAATGTAGGAAGGTGGTCAACTATAGATGTTCTACTGTAGTATTATTGATCTCTGTCTGATCAGTTATATCACCTACCTTATAGAAATGTCTATGGAACATAAAGGAGGATATGACAGATATACTCTAAAAGAATACAAGGGTAACATAATTTCAGACTATAAATTCTGAAATCATCAAGATGATGATGTAGCAGTGACCATGGTCACAAATTCAAGGAAAGGAATAATATTCTTGGACATATTTAGTTTCTGTGCGTGACTAAATTTTCTTTAAAATTTTCTACATCTTAAACTTGTAAAACTTAATTTCCTTGAAATAGAAACAAAGGGTTAAAGTAAACATAAAAAAATATTCACTCAATATTTGGCAGGGATGGCCATGCGATTATATAAAGAGAACAAGGATCAGTATTTGAGGAACAAAGCAAACCAAACTTTATCATTTTAAAATTTTCCCAAGAATTATGCCTGAAACAAAGTGTGGAAATAAATTAATATATTTTAGCATATATTTAAAAATTTCTATATTTACACAAAATTCGATGAGTTCAATGTTGGAGGCATATTATTAAAACGGTTGAATGGGAATTTACTTTCATAGACGTCAATATACCTGTTCATGAAATATGTCCAAAAAGGCTACATGGACTGGCTCACACCTGTAATCCTAGCACTCTGGGAGGCCCAGATCAGAAGACTGCTGGAGCTTAGGGGTTCAAGATCAGCCTGAGCAAGAGCAAGACATGATCTCTGCTAATACTAGCCAAGCTTTGTGGCAGGTGGCTGTAGTCCCACCTACTTGGGAGGCTGAGGCAAGAGGATCACTTGAACCCAGGAGTTGGAGGTTACTGTGAGCTACAATGCTGCTGTACTCAACCCATGAGACAAAGTAAGGCTGTGTTTCAAAAACAAAACGAACAAACAAACAACAACAACAACAACAAAGAAATATGTCCAAATAGGAGAGGAAAATAAAGTTCTTCACTGTTACAGAAGAAATTTGGAAATGACACTAGACTAATTCAAGTTCTCTGAGGAGATATAAAATTTTATGCTGAATTCAAAAAGAATTCTATTTAGCAACATCTAACAGAGATATATACTGGTAGGAAAAGTGAGTTTTAAGGACCAAAGATATATAAGTTTAAATGCCAGCTTTGTTAATTTCAGGTTGTGTAGTGATGGGCAAAACACTCATCCTCCTGGATGTCACATCTGTACTAGAGTACAAGGTGTTAATGACACTTTCATGACAAGGTTGTCCTCAGAATTAGAAAGGATACAAAATGCCTAATGGTGCTTAGGAGGTGGTAAATATTCTTTGGGGGTAGTCCTTTTGATACCTGCAACATCTAGTAGACTAACTTTAGTTTGAAATTGTCAATATTTTTTGAATAAGAGATAATCTAGAATTTTGGTAATAAAACTATCAGGAATCTGAAGCTTTTGGAAACATTATAACTAAATCACTTTCATTTCTTAAATCATCCATCAGGGTTTCACTCTTTATGATCATGTATCATTCTAATCAAACAGATCCTTAAAATACATGATGATGACAACCCACAAATTAACTTCACATTCAAATCCTACCTCTTTGATTTTAAAAAGATTGTTCTATCACTGTACTTGGCATGCACAGGTAAGAAAAAGAAAAAAAAGAGCAAAGAAATACATAATACATTAAGGAATACACACCTCCCATTTAATAATCATTTCCTTAGGTTGAGAAGCCTGAACTCTTATGTTCTGTGGATTCTTGTCTGGAGCTGGAAAATTACAAGCATTAACATTATTTTTCACACTGTATGGTAACTCATAGGTAAATCATTGTATCACACTCCCCCCAAAATAAGATATTTAAATAGGGTGGCACCTGTGGCTCAAAGGAGTAAGGTGCCGGCCCCATATGCTGGAGGTGGTGGGTTCAAACCCAGCCCCAGCCAAAAACTGCAAAAAAAAAAAAAAAAAAATTAAATAACTTTGATTATAATTATTAATTTCTGTCTGGTTCAGTTCCTAAAAAAGATTTGAGGCAGTTTTGAATATACATATATTTTACATAATGGAGTATAATAGTGTTCTTGGAGTTATATCAATTTTTACCCAATGGACAGTAGATGGTTTACTAAACATGCATCCATTTCAAACCTGCTTTTTAAATTTTTAAACATGTTTTCTAATTCTAAACCTACTTTTAAAATAGGCTTTAATTTGAAACCTCCTTTACTTTTTCTATCAGAATTATCATTAGAAATATATGTTGTGAAGATTTGTCTGTAGGAGAATAAACTTAAAGCTTAGGCATTAATAACAACAGCCAAGTTTTATGGACATCAAATGGAAAAAAACACATACTACAGCCAGGAATATATTCAGATGAATCCATTTTATTAGAAATAGCCAAGTATGGAGGTTAGTGCAAAGTAAGACACACATTATGGTCACACAAGTATCTCATTCAGTTATCACCTCGACTTGCTTTTTCTCAGTCCAAAAAGACAAATATATCCTAGCATACTTAGTTTATCCATGCTGTGACCACAACTATAACCAAGGCCAATTCAGTAACACAAATTTTAGCACTGTCACTCTAGATTTAAAAAACAAGCATTTTGGAAATTTGGAGAGACATCGAACTATAAAAATACACTAAGTACATAGAAATTAATAATGTTAAATACATTGAAAATGTATCCAAGTGCCTTCAGTGAGTCAAAAGTTTTATATCAGAAAGTTGAATCCTTGAGTTTGCTATACTCTGAACTCTAATGTAGAACTGACTTTGATACAATGTTCAGCTACTAGAAATTACTCAGGAGTCATGTTTTCTCATATAACACCACCCCCCCAATTTCTTGCTCTCTGTCAGACTCGTACAAAATTCTTCTGAAACTGATGTACTTTGAATATTTTCTGTTGTTAGTTTATAGAAACTTTCAAGCTATTTGGGGAAATTTAATAGACCTATACTTTTTTTTTTTTTTTTTTTTTTTTTTAGATATTCAAAGATGGGGCCAAACTGAAATATTTTCTCAGAAACGTGATGTGAGGGCCTGCATACCTGCGGGTGGTGTCTCGTGGTGGTCCGATGGCTGGCTGGGTTCACTTTTCCCTACTTCATTCACAGCTTTGACCCTGAATTGGTATCTCACGTATGGAGCCAAAGGTAATATCACTGTTGTTGCCTTTCCTTGGACTCTGGTCAATTCCTCCCACCTTCCTGGTTCTTCTTTGTTTCCCTCAAATTCGATAATATACTCTGACAGTAGGGACATGGGAAAAACATTGGAAGGTATTGAGTATGTTCAAGTTATGGTAAAACTTACATATAATATTAAAAACTGAAAAGGATATTTCAGTGGATCATCCACCAAGGGTGGTTAAAAATGACTTCAGCATTCATTTTGATCCTGTACGGTAAGGAAAAGGGTGACTTCAAGTTCTCCTACCGCTAATATTGCTATTGTGGTCATCGCCAGCTTCCCAGGTCAGCCGAACACTCCTGTTCTCTCTGTCAGACAAATGAAGGTTTTCTGGTGGATCTGGAACATCTAATCAATAAAAGAAAGATAAAGATAAAGGAAAAGTATAGATTACTGCCTTGGTTTACCCAATTTCCTTGCTCTAGCCACCCTTCCTCAGTGGGCCCATCTCTGATCTTAGCTGCTCACACCTTACCAGACTCTGAGGTTCTATTTCAAAGGCAGCTTCCTTCCTATCTATCCCCACATTTGACCATATTATCTCCCTGTTCTCTGATTACAGTTCTCAAAAGGTTAACCTTGACTGGGGTATCAGAATTCTTTTAGGGGTATTTATTAACAATGGATGGCCTGGGAGGTGGCTTACACCTGTAAATCTAGGAGGCCAAGGCAAGTGGATTGCTTAAGCTCAGGTGTTCAAGACCACCCCAAGCAGGAGGGAGACCAGTCTCTACTAAAAATAGAACTAGCCGGGCATCATGGCAAGCAACTGTAGTCCCAGCTACTTGGGAGGCTGAGGCAAGAATATCTCTTGAGCCCAAGAGGTTGAGGTTGCTGTGAGCTATGATGATACCACAGCACTCTACCCAGGATGACAGAGTGAGATTCTGTCTCAAAAAACAAAACAAAACAAAACAGTGAAGATTCCAAGGCCCTATATCTGGCTCACTGAAGGAGTTGCACCCAGGAATCTGCATTTCCAGTTTTCTCAAGTTTGAGAAACATAATGTATCTCACATAGATTACTTTTTCCTTCCTACTTACTTATAAGTCTGATGCATCATTTGTCTGTTACTAAAAAGACTTTCAAGAGTAAGGACTGTATTTTACTAATCTTTGAATTGACACAGTACCTTGGCCATAACAACTGTTTGTGACTATATGAATAAGTGAAAAATACATTATTACTTCAATCATGCATGTAATTATCATATTAAAGAAATGAAAAATTAGGTCCCATAGTAATGGAAAAATAAGATAGAGAACATCAGCTTGGCCTTTCTTACCTATAACTGTGTTGGACTTTTATTGTGACTTATAACAATAGATTTTCAATGTAATATAGCAACATGTATACTCTCTTGTATTGAAAGAGTATTGAAAAAAAAAAACTAGCAAAGCTGTTTATATTGGAAGAGGGAAATTTGGCCCTGATAAAGTTGTTATAGAAACTGGAAAATTGAATAGGTGATGACAAATTTTAGAGTGTTAAAGTAATGGAAATGTCTGGTACTTTTAAAACAAAGCAACAGTAAAAAGGAAATCTTATCTCTAATGGTCCTTACTCCCTAAATGTGATTTGAATTCTTTCGAGTACTGAAGGACATTTCTCTTGTCCCAGAGAAGAATTAATGAGGGTATTATCTAACGTGGCCTTTCAATGGGCTCTTTCTTCTCTAAGTGGAAAGCACCAGTTACTGCTCCCTTTGAATATTTGACAGTTGTTGAAAATTTAGATTGACAAAAAGTATCCTTCTCATTTCGGAGTGGGATGTGTTTTTTTTCTTAAATGTGGCTCACAAACGTCTTCAAACTTTAGGGCTTTAAATAGGAAATATTTCTTCAATGGTTTTCAGAGTCTCTGAGCTCAGGCAACTTGTTTATTTTCAGTACTTCCTAAGAGTCCACTGATTTCTGACGTTTCCTAAAATAACTAAGGCTGCATGTGCATCTGAGATTAAAATCTGCTTCCTCTAAAGATCATATGGAGCTAGAAGTGATGAACCCCCAGCTGAGGGTTTAAAACATGATATTCTCATAAGTGTGTTTCTTTCAAGGCTTTTGAAAATAACTTCTGAACGAAGCGGGTCAAGCATATGTTTTTAAAAACTGTCTTCCAGGGAGGAAAAAAATCCTTTAGAAACCACCTATGGCATATCCGTTATTGTCAGTTGTTGAGATACCTGTTTGTAAACCAGAGGTTGTTCTAAAAAAATGAGAATGCAAACATCAAGGAAGTTAAAAAATGCAGCTTACCCCATAGAATAAAATATTTTTATTCTCAAAATTGTGGTAGATTACTTCATACCTAATTAGTCATATAATCATAGCCAGCATTTGTGTAAAATTAACAAAATTTAATGGTTCTAGAAAACAGCAGCATTATTACAAAAATGAAAGAATAAAATCTTGATTTTCCTTTTCTTTTTCTTTTTTTGAGATAGAGTCTCACTATGTTGCCCTGAGTAGGATGCCTTGGCATTGTCACAGCTCACGGCAACCTCTAACTCCTGGGCTCAAGCGGTCCTCCTACCTCAGTCTTCTGAGTAGCTGGGACTACAGGTGCCCACCCCAATGACCAGCTAATTTTTCTATTTTGAATAGAAACAGGGTCTCCCTCCTTCTCAGGCTTGTGTTGGACTCCTGACCTCAATCAATCCTCCTGCTTCGGCCTCCCAGATTGCTAGGTTTACAGGTGTGAGCCACTGGGTTCAGCCAAAATCTTAAATTTTTTAAGTACAATGAAAAACCAAGAATTGCGCAGTAGGAAACCCAAGCCCCTTGGTGCCTGCCACTGCTCAAACCCCTACACTCTTTGGGGCTGGGATAAATTCCAGTTTATGTAAAGCTCAACTGTTTTTTCTGGTGAACTACTGTTGGAATAATTACAAGAGGACTGAGCCTTTCTGCTTGTAGAACCTTGAGATGGCTCAGATCCCTACGGCAAAAGGTCCAATTTTGCTGAGCAAAGTCCACAAATCCGTAACTTCTACAACCTGGGAACTGTTTTTCTTCCTTCCCTCCCCACCACTGGGTTACCATAATAAACATTTATTTCATGCTAATATAACTGTTTAAGCTCAGGTGTCCCTGTTCAACAGGGAACTCTTCCCTGTAGAAAGATTCAGAGTCTCATTTCCCTTAGAACCTAACCTGCTGGCCGTGTGTTTCACCTGAGACATGCCGGCCCTTTGCTTCACTTAGAGAACCAGCCCGTTTGTCCCTTTCTCATAGTCTGCCTCAGAAGGGACTGAATTTCTTCCTCGTAGTCTGTATCACCACACCCTTCACTAGCAACCTACCTGTGTCCCCACCAACCACAGTGCTAAGGAGCCAAGGGCCTGGAAACAACTGTGATGAGTCTAGACATATGATAAAGGCATCTGGGCAAAAGCAAACCCTCCTAAGGAATATCAGCCAATGAAAGGGAAGACCACAGGTGCTCACTGAAACAGAATCAATAGTAACTGGAAAATATATCCCTAGCTATCAGGGTCACTGTGGATAATTAATTAATAGCTCACACCATTTCAGGTATTTCTAAAATTTTTAATAAACATTCTTAAAATGGTATGGCCAGGCTATCTGGGGGGGATTGGCTGGGTAGAAGGGACTTGAAATACTGGTGGTGAGGTATCAGTTACTAGAATCCTATAGAAAGGAATGATGTGGACCTGTAGTCCCAGCTACTCAGAGAGGCTGAGGCAAGAGAATCGCTTAAGCCCAAGAGTTTGAGGTTGCTGTGAGCTGTGATACCATGGCACTCTACCAAGGGCAACATAGTGAGACTCTGTCTCCCCCCACCCCCGAAAAAAAAAAGAAAGAAATGATGGAATGATGTGGAGAAAGCCCCTCTGAGGAAGCTATGACTTTGGCAGTGGGACAAAGCCAGCCAGCCTGCAGGGAAAAAGGGAAGAGAACTAACCCCCCCCCCCACTCCTCTACCCTCAAGGATCCCTCTTAGCTGAGCTGAAGGAAAGCTTGAGGGCAAGCGGTTTGTCTATGTTGTCCTTACAAGCTGGGCTTCTAGGTCAAGAGCTGGTGCAGATGAATCTGGAAGGGAAACTGGAAAACATCCAGCAGATGGTCTAAGAGCTTTAAACACTTGTGATTTCAGAGGTAATTGCATTGATTACACCAGTGGAGTGTGCACACTGTTTTCTAATGAGCATTATCCTCTAAAAAAGAAAAATAACAAAAACAAAGGCATTCTTCTACTGCACACTGGAAGTCCCTTTCCGCCCTTCCTGCAACCCTCAGAACTCAGTCTGTGCCTCTGGCTTAGAGTATGGCCCCTGTGCATCCAGCTCCGGACCCTTCCTTCTAGCCCACCTTTATTCCTCAACCCTGTTTCTCTGCACACCAGGAAAGGGTAGCTCAGAAGCACTTTGAACTTGAGCATGCTTTGTTTTTCTTTAGGCTGATAGCAACGTTTACCTCCCACTGCTATTGGCAACCTTACCCATGTAGGGAAAAGAAATTAAGCATTAATTAATTTCTTTTATATGAAAAGAGGAGAAAGCGTTTGGAAGTAGTGTTACTTTTGAAACGAATAATTCAAACTAATGTATGTGTGGAGGCTCATATAATCACTGGCTTTATTGCCTAGGAATAACGGGATTGAACCAGCAGGAGAGACAAAAAACAACAGAGATTTCTCACTAGTTAGTGCCCTTACCGAGGACGGTTAGTTGAGTTCCAGCGGCAATGCTGTCGAGGGCAGTTTGAGCTACACAGGAGTAAACACCTTGGTCCTCTAACGTGACATTAGATATGGTCAGATTAGCTCCATCAATAATTATCCTACCAGAAGAAAAAGGACGTGAGTACATGATTAGGGTGAAAACAATAGAAACCATTAAAATGCAATCCTTTCCAAAATGTATACTCCCCGTGGAAAACCAATAGAGGAAGCATGAAGAAAACAATTCTACATAATGCAAATGTGATTAGAGAATGCCATCGATAAAGCCTAGAGAGAAAGCATTATTCAAGCATTAACAGATGTCTGCATAGCTATAAATGGACTCCCATTTTTAAAGCTAGGCAATCTGACCATCTGTGACGCATGGGACACTGATGGGACTGGTGTTGCCTCCCATGTTTAAAGGGCACTTACGCCTTACAATAACTATCTCAGAATAATTCTTAAGGTATGTTTAGGAAAACACTTACACAGAAGCAACTGGGGGGTTTTTTACAAAGGGAGATTTCTGAATCCCACTCCCTTCCATCATACTCGAAGAGCTGAGAGGCAGGCTTACATTGTCTAATTTTCACAAATTTCATGTTTCTCTACACCTCCAGCTTCCGAGTACAACACACATTAAGATCTCATTAATAGTTTGGGTGACGGAGACCCTAAAAGCCCTGACATCACCGCTGTCACTCCATACTTGCAACAAAATTGTGTACACGCCTCATACATCGGTGCAAATAAAGGGGGAAAATAATTGAACAGACTATGATTTATCTGAACAGCAGATGGCAGTCTAACACTTCTTTTTGCAAATCATTTCAACTAGCTTTTTATCATGTTCTACCTTTCCCAACTTATAATCAGGTTTATTACATGAAAATTATAAATAAATTATGCCTTTACCCTATACTTATGTATTATCTATGAGACTATTGAAATATTTTTTAAGTGCCACTAAATTTAAAATATAGTCCCATCAGTTACTACTTAGTTGAAATAAATTTGTCTTATCCTTATTGGGAGAAAGGGAGATATTTGTATAAACGCAAATTTTAAATGTACATGGTTATAAAAATGATAATAATTTTGAAATTACAGAAAATCACTTTAAATTTCAATAAAGTTAAACATGGCTCTGTCCTTTGATTATAAAAAGAGTCAGCCTCTTCCTTCTACACCAATACCTGAACGATTTGCCAACCAGTATTACCTGGTACTGCTAGTTAAGAATGTCCTTAAAATCTTAGACGTGTTAAAACTGAAATTAATTAATTAAATTAATTTCTCAGTCCATGTTAGTTACAAGTCCACTTGATACAGTATCAGAAGGTTGCATGCATGGACAATTTTTGAAAAGTTTTACCTTCTTTGGTGAAGGAATAAAGTTTAATGGCCTTTTGAGATAGGACTTCTAGGCTCTGCACAACGCCACTCATCGCTGAGGGCTTCTAGGAGCTGAAATCTTGTGCCCTGCCACAGGCTGCTTCAAGCTAAACAGAGTCTTCCTGACTTTTTGGTAACTTAACTATTGCATTATGCTCCTTTTTCAGTGACACAAACATACCTTGGCAGTCTAAGGTTAATAAAAGTTGACTGACCGGCTGGCTCTTGAAACGTGGTGAGCATAGCATGCCTAAGCAGCTTATTAAAGATTTCACGACCCCGTCTCAGGTCAGCTTTCAAATCAGAAGATTTGGAGGTGGGGCCAGGGCCACTGCATCTGAACGTGCAGCCTCGTTTATTCTGTCACACGTCAGAATCTGCCAACTGTCTGCATTAGGAAGGACACGCTACATTGTGCTGCAGTGATGAACAGCTCCAGATTCTTTGCCTACAACATGTTCTTTCTTCTGTCTCACTTGGTCTTCCCATCACAGGTCAACTGACTCTGTTGAAAGAAGACCCGTCATTTCTACTCTCATGGAAGCTGTTCGTTGGCTTCCCTGTTGTCTTTACCTGCTGAATCACCTCATCTGAGAAAACTATCTCCATCGTCTGCAGTATCCAGCCTGCGGGTCCCTAAGCCATGTTAACCTTCATTGCTGTCTCAGCCTGTGCTGTCATGGGTCTCAGTTCCATTAGTTATTATTTGTATAACCTTGAACAAAACATCAAACCTAATTCACCTTATTAACAAAATGGGGATAACAGTATTTTCTTTGTCCTTAGGAGAGGTAAATGAAGGGAAGCACAAAAAGTGATTAGTATACACAGCTCGGCCTAATATGTGCTCAGAGAGTGTTACTAATAATATTAATCAAATTGATTTCATTCATTTCTGGTTTATCACTAATCACATTTCTCATGGCTGATATATTAATGTCCCAAACTCCCACCCCTCTTGCCTCGCTGCCTCTTTGCTTGAGCAAATTGCCTTAGTTCCTAATTTGTTAGGAAGAGACTCGGCACGATGACAGCCTCATCATCGCTGCATCTCTGTCTCGGCCCAGCCCCCATTTATTTGGCACCATTTCTGAAGGGAAAAAAGCAGCCCTTCCTGGATGCCAAGGATAGAAGCTTCCCACTGTGTTTCTACACCCGTCCTCCCACGTCCTCCTCATGGTCAACATACAGCACGCCCTCCCTGCCTGGACCAGCAAGCCCTCCTCATGGTCAACATACAGCACGCCCTCCCTGCCTGG